CACACTCCATCATACAGGTTGTCTCGCACTCACTCCATTATACAGGTTGTCTCACACTCCATTATACAGGTTGTCTCACACTCACTCCATCATACAGGTTGTCTCACACTCACTCCATTATACAGGTTGTCTCACACTCCATTATACAGGTTGTCTCACACTCACTCCATCATACAGGTTGTCTCACACTCCATCATACAGGTTGTCTCACACTCAATCCATTATACAGGTTGTCTCACACTCCATTATACAGGTTGTCTCACACTCACTCCATCATACAGGTTGTCTCACACTCACTCCATCTTACAGGTTGTCTCACACTCACTCCATCATACAGGTTGTCTCACACTCCATCATACAGGTTGTCTCACACTCCATCATACAGGTTGTCTCACACTCCATCATACAGGTTGTCTCACACTCCATCATACAGGTTGTCTCACACTCACTCCATCATACAGGTTGTCTCACACTCACTCCATCATACAGGTTGTCTCACACTCACTCCATCATACAGGTTGTCTCACACTCACTCCATTATACAGGTTGTCTCACACTCCATCTTACAGGTTGTCTCACACTCCATTATACAGGTTGTCTCACACTCCATCATACAGGTTGTCTCACACTCACTCCATTATACAGGTTGTCTCACACTCACTCCATTATACAGGTTGTCTCACACTCACTCCATTATACAGGTTGTCTCACACTCACTCCATCATACAGGTTGTCTCACACTCCATCATACAGGTTGTCTCACACTCCATTATACAGGTTGTCTCACACTCACTCCATCATACAGGTTGTCTCACACTCACTCCATTATACAGGTTGTCTCACACTCAATCCATTATACAGGTTGTCTCACACTCCATCATACAGGTTGTCTCACACTCACTCCATCTTACAGGTTGTCTCACACTCACTCCATCATACAGGTTGTCTCTCACTCCATCATACAGGTTGTGTCACACTCCATCATACAGGTTGTCTCACACTCCATCATACAGGTTGTCTCACACTCCATCATACAGGTTGTCTCACACTCACTCCATTATACAGGTTGTTTCACACTCCATCATACAGGTTGTCTCACACTCCATCATACAGGTTGTTTCACACTCCATCATACAGGTTGTCTCACACTCACTCCATTATACAGGCTGTCTCACACTCCATCATACAGGTTGTCTCACACTCCATCATACAGGTTGTCTCACACTCACTCCATTATACAGGTTGTCTCACACTCACTCCATCATACAGGTTGTCTCACACTCACTCCATCATACAGGTTGTCTCACACTCACTCCATCATACAGGTTGTCTCACACTCACTCCATCATACAGGTTGTCTCACACTCACTCCATCATACAGGTTGTCTCACACTCCATCATACAGGTTGTCTCACACTCCATTATACAGGTTGTCTCACACTCACTCCATCATACAGGTTGTCTCACACTCACTCCATTATACAGGTTGTCTCACACTCACTCCATCATACAGGTTGTCTCACACTCACTCCATCATACAGGTTGTCTCACACTCACTCCATCATACAGGTTGTCTCACATTCCATCATACAGGTTGTCTCACACTCACTCCATCATACAGGTTGTCTCACACTCACTCCATTATACAGGTTGTCTCACACTCACTCCATTATACAGGTTGTCTCACACTCACTCCATTATACAGGTTGTCTCACACTCACTCCATCATACAGGTTGTCTCACACTCCATCATACAGGTTGTCTCACACTCCATTATACAGGTTGTCTCACACTCACTCCATCATACAGGTTGTCTCACACTCACTCCATTATACAGGTTGTCTCACACTCAATCCATTATACAGGTTGTCTCATACTCCATCATACAGGTTGTCTCACACTCACTCCATCTTACAGGTTGTCTCACACTCACTCCATCATACAGGTTGTCTCACACTCCATCATACAGGTTGTGTCACACTCCATCATACAGGTTGTCTCACACTCCATCATACAGGTTGTCTCACACTCCATCATACAGGTTGTCTCACACTCACTCCATTATACAGGTTGTTTCACACTCCATCATACAGGTTGTCTCACACTCACTCCATCATACAGGTTGTCTCACACTCACTCCATCATACAGGTTGTTTCACACTCCATCATACAGGTTGTCTCACACTCACTCCATTATACAGGTTGTCTCACACTCCATCATACAGGTTGTCTCACACTCCATCATACAGGTTGTCTCACACTCACTCCATTATACAGGTTGTCTCACACTCACTCCATCATACAGGTTGTCTCACACTCACTCCATCATACAGGTTGTCTCACACTCACTCCATCATACAGGGTGTCTCACACTCACTCCATCATACAGGTTGTCTCACACTCACTCCATCATACAGGTTGTCTCACACTCACTCCATCATACAGGTTGTCTCACACTCCATCATACAGGTTGTCTCACACTCCATTATACAGGTTGTCTCACACTCACTCCATCATACAGGTTGTCTCACACTCACTCCATTATACAGGTTGTCTCACACTCACTCCATCATACAGGTTGTCTCACACTCACTCCATCATACAGGTTGTCTCACACTCACTCCATCATACAGGTTGTCTCACATTCCATCATACAGGTTGTCTCACACTCACTCCATCATACAGGTTGTCTCACACTCACTCCATTATACAGGTTGTCTCACACTCACTCCATCATACAGGTTGTCTCCACACTCACTCCATCATACAGGTTGTCTCACACTCACTCCATTATACAGGTTGTCTCACACTCACTCCATCATACAGGTTTTCTCACACTCACTCCATCATACAGGTTGTCTCACACTCACTCCATCATACAGGTTGTCTCACACTTACTCCATCATACAGGTTGTCTCACACTCCATAATACAGGTTGTCTCACACTCACTCCATCATACAGGTTGTCTCACACTCACTCCATCATACAGGTTGTCTCACACTTACTCCATCATACAGGTTGTCTCACACTCCATAATACAGGTTGTCTCACACTCACTCCATCATACAGGTTGTCTCACACTCCATCATACAGGTTGTCTCACACTCACTCCATTATACAGGTTGTCTCACACTCACTCCATCATACAGGTTGTCTCACACTCACTCCATCATACAGGTTGTCTCACACTCACTCCATCATACAGGGTGTCTCACACTCACTCCATCATACAGGTTGTCTCACACTCACTCCATCATACAGGTTGTCTCACACTCACTCCATCATACAGGTTGTCTCACACTCCATCATACAGGTTGTCTCACACTCCATTATACAGGTTGTCTCACACTCACTCCATCATACAGGTTGTCTCACACTCACTCCATTATACAGGTTGTCTCACACTCACTCCATCATACAGGTTGTCTCACACTCACTCCATCATACAGGTTGTCTCACACTCACTCCATCATACAGGTTGTCTCACATTCCATCATACAGGTTGTCTCACACTCACTCCATCATACAGGTTGTCTCACACTCACTCCATTATACAGGTTGTCTCACACTCACTCCATCATACAGGTTGTCTCACACTCACTCCATCATACAGGTTGTCTCACACTCACTCCATTATACAGGTTGTCTCACACTCACTCCATCATACAGGTTTTCTCACACTCACTCCATCATACAGGTTGTCTCACACTCACTCCATCATACAGGTTGTCTCACACTTACTCCATCATACAGGTTGTCTCACACTCCATAATACAGGTTGTCTCACACTCACTCCATCATACAGGTTGTCTCACACTCACTCCATCATACAGGTTGTCTCACACTTACTCCATCATACAGGTTGTCTCACACTCCATAATACAGGTTGTCTCACACTCACTCCATCATACAGGTTGTCTCACACTCACTCCATCATACAGGTTGTCTCACACTCCATCATACAGGTTGTCTCACACTCCATTATACAGGTTGTCTCACACTCACTCCATCATACAGGTTGTCTCACACTCCATCATACAGGTTGTCTCACACTCCATTATACAGGTTGTCTCACACTCACCCCATCATACAGGTTGTCTCACACTCACTCCATCATACAGGTTGTCTCACACTCACTCCATCATACAGGGTGTCTCACACTCCATCTTACAGGTTGTCTCACACTCCATCTTACAGGTTGTCTCACACTCCATCTTACAGGTTGTCTCACACTCCATTATACAGGTTGTCTCACACTCACTCCATCATACAGGTTGTCTCACACTCACTCCATTATACAGGTTGTCTCACACTCCATCTTACAGGTTGTCTCACACTCCATCTTACAGGTTGTCTCACACTCCATCATACAGGTTGTCTCACACTCACTCCATCATACAGGGTGTCTCACACTCCATCTTACAGGTTGTCTCACACTCACTCCATCATACAGGGTGTCTCACACTCCATCATACAGGTTGTCTCACACTCCATCATACAGGTTGTCTCACACTCCATCATACAGGTTGTCTCACACTCTGAGCCACAACCTTCAAGCAGCTGTACCTTATTGTATCAGTGTGTTTTACCAATACCATATGAGACTGCCAGAGCTGGCATGGTTCAAGTTATCCCACAACATACATGCTCCAACTACTCTTCTATTGTGAAGCTGTAGGGGGATCATGGATGTACACTGTCAGTGACCAATGGCAACCTGTGACCAGTAGAGTCAGGATGTGTTAGAAAAAGCAGCTGTTTGTATACTTAAAGCTTTATCTTTCATATTGTGTGTAATTATGTTACAAATTGTTGGTACCTTCCTTTTGAATCTTGACTGAGTTAGTTTGAAATGTCTTACCAACTTTTCAAATTTGGAGGTTCTGGTGAGGTTTGAAGTAGTGTGTAATGTTGAACTTGTCACAAGGTTGTCAGGATGTGATCACAAAGGATTAGTCCATCAGTGAGGTGTTTATTGGAACCCCCTTGCTGCTTGTAGGATTTGAACCACTGGGTGACCGGCTGGACAGACTGGAACATAGCGCTGGACACCGAGGGCGGACCCAACTGGGCCAACAACTTTGTGGACAGCCCTGTCATTGTCAATGCTACCGGCAAAGAATTCTATAAGCAGCCTATGTTCTATGCCCTCGGCCATTTCAGGTAAATTCTGGACATCAACTTCCATTGAAACAGCCACTGTTCCTTAGACCTTCCTCTGGTTCCCTGGTGTTCACATCATCAACCCCTGGTTGGCCTGCTCCAGAATTGATTAGACAGGCCACTGTGAATAGATCCCAGCCACCAGACAAGTTTGTGTCGGGCTGGAACACCATGCTTGTCGTAAGAGCTTACTAAAATGGTGATCACCTTGTTACCATGTGTGACCATGGATCATCGCTTGACTCTGATTTGAATATATACAGTTGCCTGTGACACAAAACATGATGCACTCAGCTCCCATTTTCTGAAAGACATTAGATGATAAAACTTGGAAAAACAGTATGACATGTGAAGATCATTCTAGTATCGGTAGACAGCCTCCGTGGTCTAGTGGTAGAGCATCCACCCGGAGAGCGGAGGGTCGGGGTTGATCCCCGCCCGTATCATATCAAAAGATGTGGTGTACTCGGCATTAAGGGGCTAAAACAAGGACTGGTCGGCTCTGATTCAGTATACAGCGTCTGAGTGGGGTATTCATGTTAAATTGTGGCATGGTATCTCAGTGGGCTAGCATTGTCGGCATTAGTCCGGACTAGTATGTAAGCAGAAACCCCATTTCACCTCATCACCATCTAGTATCACTACATGTTTAGAAGGGAAACAACTGATTTGAACAAATTTTCTTTGCAGCAAATTTATTGTCCCAGGAGCGAAAAGGATATCCCTACATGCAAGTGGTTCTGTAGAAACAATTGAGACAGTGGCATTTCTTTTACCCGATGACTCTGTGGTATTGGTCATCCACAACAGGTGAGTGTATAACCTTACAGCAGAATTTCATTCTTTAAAAAGTTTTGTTATGGATACAGTCAGCCAAGAAAGCAAGGCTTAAACTGCTTTCTAAGATAATAGATGATGCGTGAGATATGGATGACAACTACTATATTTATGCTTGCTTATTCCATTAGGGTTCCAGGGCAGAATAGTTCTGTGGGACCCCTGATGGTTGTGGGAGACACCTAACTAGAGAAGCAGACGGCCACAATATATTACTTGATTGATTGTGTGGCATCATGACTCTACTGCTTTGTTTGTTGCTCATACCGTCAGCCATTGGGTTGCCTGATCCAGGCACAGTAATTAGTAGGTTGCAGTTATAGAGTTGCAATATTGCTGACAGCAGCCAAGAAAAACATTGACTGATTTAATTATTGATTTGAAAGATGCATCACAGGTTCAACAACCGTTTTCATACCTCCATGTCAGAATGATGAGATCTGATTGGTCCATGTGATCTTGATAAAATACTATGTATTTCGCCTTGGAGGGAAATAAATTTCTCAGCGGGTGTATAAATCTATTATACCTCGCCACGAGCAAAACGGGCTGCACATGGATTTCTGAGAGGCAGAATAAACCCCTTATGCTCCGCTTGGAAGCAAATAGTTACACACTTTTCCGAGTCAATGTAAGTCATGGGACATAGCGCAAGCTTTAACTTCCACTCAATGGAACAGCTGTTTTCTATCTATTTTGATTTTGTTTTAATTCTTTTACAATGTCATATAAAAAAATATTATTGTTGTAGCAGGATCACTCGGGGTACATGGGGTTTAATGCATCCCTTGTTAACGCAGGATGCATAAAACCCCATGTACCCTTCGTGATTCTACTACAACTAGGGCTGAGAAAAAAATATTGCTTCTCAGGCAATAGCTTTTGAAAATATCAACAAACTAGTAAGAATCCAAATCCGTATATCGCTGTATATAAGGCAGGTTTGCATAACTAGGAGGCTTCACTATTCAATAGTATGAAGTTTGTGGGGAGGAAAATGCATATATATCAACTTCCGAGTTCAATATTGCCTATGTGTAAGAGGCATTCATCCATACTACTTGTGTTTCCTGTAGCTAGGTCAAGTTTTGAATGACCATCACAGAAAAACATTATAAAGGGTGTATGAAGGTTTGCTCATTGATCAGATCCTAACACAGTATAAACAGAAAGTCCACATGATTATAAGCAATTGGATGTATTACTAATGAATTTGAGGTGTTGTTTTCAGCCTTGATGGGGAGTATTTGATGAGCTTGCATGACCCTGCCCTGGGCTATGCCAACGTCAAGTTGGAACCTCTGTCTATAAACACTTTCATCTGGTGGAACAAATGATGTGCCCCTTGCGATGTGTGTCGAGGTGAAAAGAGTTTTGTGTGTTGTGTGACATGTTTGTGAAGAATCAATATCTAATTATTGACTGTTAATGTAATTAAATAAATGTACGAAATATTTATTTGAGATTGTGATATTGTGTTGTATGTAAGGTTTGAGTTAAGAAGTGTTTTGTGATCTCAGATATGATATAGATGAATCTATGCAAGACTGTTCATGCAATGTGTTTCATGCAATGTGTGAAAATCTGTTTCTCCAACATTCCAAAAGTATTTGCCTAGAAAACTTCTGATTAAGGATTTGGAGCATGACCATGTCTGTCATCAGCAGACATGATGTACAAAGTTGCCTCCCTTGCTGCTTGCTTCAGACACTGATTACTCGTGTGTACCTTAAGGATCTGGTTCGTAGATTGATCACAAGTTTCCTCCAAAGGTAGCACTTGAAAATGAGAAATAAATAAGATTGTCATTGCAAGATTGTATATTTATTTCATGTTCTTATATGTGTTATACTGTTGACTCTTGTTCTGGGGCAAATCAAGGAACTGAGCCAGAAGTGTCTTCTTACAAGTTTAGCCACATGTCTGACAAGGATGTAAACTGTCTGTATCACTTGCTACACTGCTATTATCTAATTGGTACACAGATGCTAATGAGATTTTTCACAGTTAAGTAATGATTAGTAAAGACGACAAATACTAATCAGTGTCAGTGAAGTGTGCCACAAATGTTTTGATAATCTGATCAGTTGCTTTAGGCAGACATCTACCACCTATATCCAACATGACTAAATGACTCAGGGGGCCAGGAAATGTTCTTCTAATTTAAACAATTTGAGATATTAGTTTTCAAATTATGTTACATAAAGAATAAAGCAGTCGGCCTGAACAGAAGTTACTTCCTGTCAGTGTTGTCTGGCTATCCAGTCTGCCAACAGGGACCAGTGCAATATCAGTGTTTGTTAAAACTGTTGTGGAAGTTTTAAAAGATTTATAATCCAGCATAGTGTCTGTGAAGATTATTGGAAATGTTTGAATACCAATAAATATGTATTTTATTTTATTATTTGAGACCTGTGAATACTCCGAAATTGCCATGTTTGTTTGTTGTTTAATGATGCAGTATCCAAGCTGTATCATAGTACTCGGTAAATAATCAAGTTGCTATGCTATTTCAGGATATCTATTTATAGAGAGAAAGAGATATAGATATAGATAGATATGTATAGCTGATGGCCACATCAGAATATTTACAATCTTGTTATTATGTCCATATTTTCTTATAAAATTAAAATGTGTACAGCAAGCCATACATTCTCAGGACCCCCAAATATGTTTGACCAGTAGCCACATGGCAGCAATGTTATGTACAATTCCCTTTAATTCATTTCAGCCATGTTCTAACAGAGTGCCTGCTCTCTAATACAATTCTTCAGCAAATTGTTCGAACTGAAAGTCCGGTGAGTTTATGTCGTGACCTGCTTGTCTCCCATCGGCCTCTGTGAACATCTTCTCATCAGTAACCACTGGATCCATGAAACTGGAAATTCAGTGTTTGTTCCCACCAATGATGACACCTGAATTTGTTCTTGAGGTTTAATTCCGTTTGGCAATATGGCCACAAGGGCAGCCATATTGAAAAATCTATTTATGGCCACAATTCAGCTTTTTTTGTACAAAATGTAATGAAATTTGGTATGTTTACATTGTTGTGAGATTCAACACATATTTGTTTTAAAAATATAATTTTGACCTTGTTTGGACCATGCTCTGAAATTCTCTCATATTTGGCTCTGTAAATATGGTCCCAGACTAAGCGATTTGAACTTTGGCATGTGGGATTCTCCTCATGATGACATATGCTACTCACCGTTTGCTAAGGACCACCACTTTAAAAGGTAATATGTCAAACTGGAGCATCTGTTGAAATAATCAGACAATATTGTGTGAAGACATGTTTAAAGAACAAAAGCCTGTTGTGCTGTGCCACACAATGCCAACAAACAACGTGTGACCAATAGTCCGTCAGATCACCCGTCAGAATGAGAGTATCTGACCTAAACTGAAATGTAAAAAAACAAAAAACAAATCAAATTCATTGAGAAATAACACAGACTCTCAGTAGCGCATACATTATCAGTGTGATGCGATCACAGCCTGGCACCATCGCACCATTTTAAGGAAAAGAAAATTTTACATTTGACTTGTTAGAATATGACTTATAAAATTCATCATTTTGCCAGTATGACCATAATTACTTTTAATTTTCAGGTGTCAATAAATTTACATTAACATGTTAACTTTTGTTTTCCTTTTATATATTATGCCACTGATGACAGCTCTCTTTCATGAATGTGCATAATATTCATACATGAGCATGACCAGATCTATAAATCAGTACTGGAGAGATACAATATGTTCTCAGTGACCTGTCTGAAAGATTAGTGTTGTACAATCTGGAGCTCACCTGGTCAAACTGAATTTTGATGGGGTAGGATGCATTCAAAACAAAATATTCCCATTTCTGCCAAAAGACACAGAAATAACATGCCCTGGGACATCGACTGCATGTCATTAAAGTTATAGGGCTGCCACAACAAACTCCAGGTCTCTTCACCAAAACTATCTCACTAAACTGTCCAACAGTGGTATCAGTTTACACTGGAAATATGTAGATGCCTAAACGGAAACATCTTCCCGAGGTGTACACTCGCCTGTATCAAAGCCTAGTTTGTGGAATAATGCCCACAATTAGGGTCAACATGTCCCCTTCTCTTCACAAATAGGCAATATAGGCGTTACTATCCTCAATGTCACCATATTTCCTGTAATAAAATGTCTTTGTCTGAACATTACAACATCCGTGTGTACTGTATCTTCTTTCAATTACACCCTGAGCAAATTCACCACCGTACCTTCTTTTCGGAAGTGGCGTCACCATCTTCTCTACTATATCTAAGTTAGCACAACAGTGTTCTCGCTGATGAGCTTGAGATTTTCAACCAAGCGAAATATGTCTTATGAACTCGAGTTCGGCATACAAAATCAACGGATATATCAGTGGATATATTTAATAAGCAAGAAGTCTTTTTTAAATGAACTGTTAGCTGGACAAGATGTCATGAGTATTGAAACAGGGCAAAGGTAGTTCCAAGTTGTATTTGAGGCGGACCGCACCATGGCAAATCCATACTGGCGATACCTTGACCAGTTCAAATCGAAAAACAGTGTACATTTCCTGGCGTATTTAGTTTGTTTGTTTGATTGTTGCTTAATACCGCACTCAGCAATATTCCAGCTACATGACGGCTTGGACCTGTGAACTGTCATTTTAGCAACTGTAGACTACCATGCAAAATGTCTTACATACAAATTAATAATTTAAGTCATCTCAATATCTCCGAAATGTGGTTTTGCATCTCTTTTTTAATACTATGTTTTGTGTTTGTTTGTTGTTTAACGCTACACTCAGCAATATTCCAGCTATATGGCAGTGGTCTGTAAATAATCGAGTCTGGACCAGATAATCCAGTGATTGACATCATGAGCATCGATCTACGCAATTGGGATACGATGACGTGCATCAACCAAGTCAGCGAGCCTGACCACCCGATCTCGTTAGTCGCCTCTTACTACATGCATAATCGCCGTTTGAGTTTCTGAAGACCTATTCTACCCCAGATCTTTACGGGTTCCATGTTTTATGAGTATATGTAATATATATAGGATCTTAGAGAACAAAATCAGCAACCCATGCTTGCCGTAAGAAGTGACAAAGGAATCGGGTGGTCAGGCTTGCTGTCTTGGTTGATGCATGTCATTGTATTCCAATTGCGAAGCATGTCATTGTACTCCAATTGCGTAGATCGATCATGATCGCAGTCATTTTGCTTTAATATTGGTGAGTGCTGCGTTAAACAACAAACAAACAACTACATAATTACTGGCATCGTTATAAGTTCTTATTAAAGCGGATCTAGCCTCAGGCAAATTGGCATTTCCAGCAAACCATAAACATCATTTTGATTGCCTGCTACTTCAAAGTGGGGGGCACGGGTGGCCCAGTCGTCTAAGGCGCCGCGATTCGCTGTGCAGAGTTGCGTCCCTTGGGCACGCCAGAAACCTATGATTGTGGGTTCGAATCCCGGTTCGCCACGATAATGTTTCTAGGTTTGTCAGCACCATACCCGTGCTCGTGGGTTTCACCGAAGTGGTAAACGTCTGAGACCTGCATCACTTCGGGCTTTCCTCCCACAATAAGCTGACACGCCGTGATATAACTGGACTACTGTTAAAAGCGGCGTTAAACCCAAACTCACTCACTCACTCACTCACTTCAAAGTGTATTATGTATACACATGCACAGAAGTTAAGCGCCACCCACCATATTTGTGAGCTGTTACTTTTGGCACTTAATGATGACTATTATAACGAGATGAACGATTGCTATAAGCCGTATATGTAAACCTCATGTGATGCAAAAGTTGTCCTAAAGCAAGTTTATCTTGTGTTCCAAAAGAATATGAGCAGAAAGGAATTTTACCGAAGACCAGAAATTGAAGGATTAGAAAACATTGAAAAACATTTTTTGTCATGTAACTGTCATGATATCAGCGGACCATATCAGTGTATGATCCACGGACGTTGACCACAGCTTCAACCCTACGCCTCATACTCATTACAAGTCGTTGAATGCTTCTCTGAGGCAAACGGATCCATTCTTCATGAAGTGCGGCTTCAAGTCCAGCGAGATTTTGAACTGGGGGATCACGATGTCTGATTTTCCGGCCAAGAATGTCCCAGAGCTGCTCAATCGGATTAAGATCCGGACTACAGGCCGGCCATGGAAGAGTGGCAATAGCTTCTTGACGCAAATAAGCCAAAACTGCCCGAGATCTGTGTGGTCTAGCATTGTCGTCCATGTAAACAGGTCTTGTCTGAAAAGGGTGGTTGTCAAAATGAGGGACTACCACTGGACGAAGAACGGCATCTTGGTATTGTTGGCCATTCAGGTTTCCACGAACACAACCCCATATCATGACAGACCCCCCGCCACATGCTAAGGTCTTCTGGGTGTTCCTTGGTGCAAAACGAGTGTTACGTTGCCTCCAAACACGAATTCGACCATCAACAGTTCGTAGCAGCATTCGACACTCGTCAGACCAATGGATCCTTCTCCAGTTGGCCAAGTTCCATCGACTACGGGCACGACGCCATATCAGACGATTCCGCATGTGCCTCTCAGTCAGTTGAGGACGTTTTACTGGTCTTCTGGTGTTATAACCAGCCGCTCTGAGGCGACGCCTTAAGGTCATCGTCGAGAGTCTCTGATGGGTAATCCACTGCAGTCTTAAATCTGTTGAAGTGGCAAATGGATTTCGTCTGACTATCCTGAAAAGACGTCTATTCTCTCTGTTAGAGGTCTTTCTTGGCCTACCAGACCTATGCCTGTCATTGACATTGGTTTGACCATGTTTGACAATCAAACGAGTGATAATACTGTGATGACGACCCATTTTTCTTGCAATGGCCCTGCATGACATGCCAGCATTTTTCATGCCTATCACTTGCCATCTTTCAGCGTTCGTTATCTTTCTCCTCACCATGGCTGATTTTCAACCTCTATTTGAAGGGGAATCTCACACAGGAGCAAAATGCAACCACGTGTCTGAAACTTGAATTTCACGTAAAGCACGCTTTCCTTGTGGTATCTGGACAAATTTGGAACTATGGAAGCCTAATTCAGTCATACATCATCATATTTCGTATTTCTGATTCCCACACGTGAAATCAAGAGACTATGAATATGGTGGCGCTTAACTTTTGTGCATGTGTATATATTAACTATGTCTCCGCCGCACACAGCGTACTGATTACAGCGTCTAGACCTAGATTGAAAGTTTGTACTGTACAGTTGTGAGGAGTTCTTCTTTAATAAGGCCGTAACGCTGTGTACCAACATTTTATGTTACGCCGCCAACGTTGACCACACCAAGTACTGTTCATCGGCTAATTCATCAGACAGGGTGCAGTCACACGACGTGTAGTCGAGAACAAAGACACGTATTATGGCATAATACTGGATAAAACGTTTATTTATACCGTCAATCGATTACCACACACAAAGAAACATAGTGCAGAATTCATTGTTGAGCTACCAGCATAGTAGTGCGGAGATGATTACTAGGCTGTTTTTATGATATGTCCACCACCCCAAAGAGACTTCATTAAAGACAAAACTGGTTGAAAAATAAATTAACTCTTGACATATGTGTCAGATATCATGTATTGCTAGATTTTACAGTAACAGATTTCAGCTGGACAAAATCCCCCCATGCAATTCTGTTCACACCATCTGTTCATGTGGTTTGTGTCAATCCAGCTCCGACAATCCTGCCTGATAAACTCCTCCCCCGGACATGCGCAGATGCACAGGTTGAAGGGACAAAGTCCCATCATGCACTGCGTGGCACAGTACCGGTCAAAGTTCTGCATGTTCGCCCATACCCCCTTCCCTCTGCAGATGGACCGTCCCGAGGCACACATAGGTCCTGGAACACCCTCTAGTTCACGTGGAAGCACCTGTTGACCCCACATGGGGTAGTTCCTATTGGTGGGTTGGGCGTTGAAAGTTGTGGATCTTGGGCCCTGGGTCATCATGTTGAAATTCGCAGGTCCACCGTTCACCGCAGAGGCTCGCATAGCCATCATCCTCTGCTGATTCAGCATCATGCGCTGTGCTCGAGCTTGTACCTGTGCTTGACCCTGTGCTTGACCCCGTGCTTGTGCCCGAGTTTGAGCATGTGCTTGTGATTGTACCCGGGTCTGGGCCTGTGCTTGTACCAGGGCTTGTGCTTGTGCTTGTGCTTGTGCTTGAGCTTGTGACATTCCAGGTGGAACTATTACTTGACCGTTCATCATAGCTATTTGATAAGGGACGAATCTGGGAGGGACATTGGACATTTGGGAAGACATTGATGCAAGGTGGTCCTGGTGTGTCATCCACGGTTGATTAGGGTCCACTATAGCGTTGGACGGCACAAACACTGGGTTATTGTTAGTCAGTACCCCATACTCACTGAAACTTTCTGGCGATGATGTTGTTGCCGAAGCGTTGACATCTGGTGTTTTGGTTGCTGTCTTTGTCGGTGCTGCTGGGTGTTGAGATGGTCGTGACTCGATGGGGACATCAGCTGCGTATGGACCCAGAGCTACAGGAATAGGAGTCGTACCAAGGTACTCACCGGGTGGCGCGTTGGGAGTGAGGTCGTTTGTGATGTAGTAGAGCTCTGTCGGGTAGTAGTTTGTGACGTACGGGACGAAATTGTGGCCGTATGTGGAAACTAGAGGCGCATCTGTAATGAAATAGCCTTGAGTAAAAGGGACTGCAGGAGGCATTTCAGTTATTGTTGTTGTTGTTGGTGGTATTTCATTTGTTGTTGTTGGTGGTCTTTCAGTTGTTGTTGGTGGTCTTTCAGTTGTTGAAGTGGTGGTAGTGGTGGTGGGAGTTCCTTTTGTACTTGTAGTCCAAAATATAGCAGTTTTCGTCAAAGAAGTGGTTGTTGTAATAGGAGTAGTTGTTGTAGTTGGTGAAGTAGTCGTGGTTGTAGTAGTCGTAGTGGTAGTTGTAGTTGTAGTAGTTGTACTTGTAGTGGTCGGGTAAGTAGTTATAGGTGTAGAAGGGACTCTTGGTTGTTTTTTGTTCGTTATAAGAGGAATGTTTTCCTGCGGAAGGTCGACAGGCGCTTGTTTTTGTATTGCACCATTCTGATTTGCTCTGGAAACTGTAGATACAGATGGTGGCTTTTTGTGAAAGGATCTAGACGAACTAGATTGGCTTGATATGAGGACAGACGGTGTTTCATCCTTTGAATTGTACATTCTGTAAGGATAGCTACCAAATCGGCTTAGGAAGGATTTCCCCGTGAAAGAGTTCACATGTTTGGTAGGGCTCCCCGTCAGAGACTGAAGTGAAACTTTCATGAACTGCGAGGTGCCTGCACTTGCTTGGACGTGCCCGAAACTAGTGGGCACACTGCTGCGATTATTGTTATTTCTTTTCATTAACGAAGTAAAACTGACCCCCCTGGAAAGATTCGGATCCTCCTGTGGATCTGGGACTTGTGCATCTTTCACGCCAACGTCTGGCTCAGCCGGCTTCTGGAAGAAGAGATCTGACGATGAGATGATCAGAGGTTGTGGCGGGGGAGCGGTGCCTGCTAAATACGTTTTCAACGGCCCCTTGTCTGGAGGAAGAGTAACAGCAGGCTGTATCTTAGGTTCAAACCTCGATACTTTCCGAGCGGGCATTCCTATGTTCATTCCGTTGTAAGCTTCTGCAGTGATTTCTACAGGTGTTGGTGCCCCTAATCGCCCACCTGATGAGGGCTGACGTGCAAAGTTCTTGACCTTGACCTCATTAGTTTTGACATCTTGACCTCCAGGCACAACAGGATGTGCAGTCGAAGGGGTGGAAACTGTGGGTGGCGACACGGTTCCCTGAATATGTCCAGGTTGGCCCATCTCGTACAGGGGATAGTCGTTTCCTATGGCAACGTCAGCACAGTTGTGCCACTGTTCTTGTTTGCCACACCCCATGCACTCGCGGCCGTCCTTGATACCCATATGCTGACCTGGAACATGGACACACATTTATTCCAGCAGACATTTAAGAAACATGTTGGTACATTTATGATTCACTTGTGATGAAATGTATTAAAACGTGTTATATTTACAGTACATGAACCATGGCTACTGATAAAAGAAGGCGGTGGGGTAGCCTAGTGGTTAAAGCGTTCGCTCGTCACGCCGAAGACCCGGGTTTGATTCTCCTCATGGGTACACTGTTGGAAGTCCTTTTCCGGTGTCCCTCGCCATGATATTGCTGGAATACTGCTAAACGAGGGGCGTAAAACCATACTCACTCATTCATTCACTCACTCACTCACTCACTCACTAATATAACAAAAAATAAAACACCTTTCCCTTTCTCGATTTCAGCTTCGTACTTTTGTGGTAAAAAATGCACATTTTGGATGTGGCATAAACGACCGACATTTCACTGTTAATGTACAGTAAACTACGTTTATAACGAACACGCTTATACCGAATTGACGGATATAACGAACTGATTTTGGGTCCCATCGATTTCCTGTATATAGGGTGTTTATGTGCCTATAACAAACTACGGTTATAACGATCTAAAATTAATGGTCCCTTGTAGTTCGTTATAACCGTTGTTTACTGTATTTAAAAATTCAATAAACCAGGCGATTGTTATGGTGTGAGCGATATGGCATATACGATTGGTGAGAGTTGTCATATCAATAATTATTATATTCGTAATGATATATGGAAAGATCACTCCCCGTCGCTGCAATGTTCAGTACAATCTTGATACCATCGTTAATACATTATCTGAAAAATATCGTGTATGTGCGTGTGTGTGCGTGGAGAAGGGCTACCGTGACGAGGGTGTACTAGGGGCAGATTTCATTTGCCGGAACAGGAAATAGTCACTGGGGGATATGTCTGAGCTGTAGGGTGGGTGATTTAACTGTACAGCCCAGACGTAGCCCCCAGTGACTATTTCCTGTTCCGGCAAATGAAATCTGCCCTACGTGGAAGACGCTTCCAGGATGACGGAGACATAAAGGCTGCCACAGAGGCATGGGTAGAGGGCCAATCTGCGGTTTGTATAAAAGTGGTATTAAATGCTTGAAAGACAAATGGAATATGTGTATTGAGGTGAATGCAGATTATATTGAAAAATATAAGTGCAAAAGATATTCTGCGACTTGGTCTTATATTGAAGTTGCAAAACTTATTGAACGCCCCTCGTATGTGTGGAGACGGGCTAGTGTAACATGTGTGTATGTGTGGAGACGGGCTACTGTAACGTGTGTGTATGTGTGGAGACGGGCTACTGTAACGTGTGTATTTGTGGAGACGGGCTACTGTAACATGTGTGTATGTATGGAGACGGGCTACTGTAACGTGTGTGTATGTATGGAGACGGGCTACTGTAACGTGTGTATGTATGGAGACGGGCTACTGTAACGTGTGTATGTGTGGAGACGGGCTACTGTAACGTGTGTGTATGTGTGGACACGGGCTACTGTAACGTGTGTGTATGTATGGAGACGGGCTACTGTAACGTGTGTGTATGTATGGAGACGGGCTACTGTAACGTGTGTGTATGTATGGAGACGGGCTACTGTAACGTGTGTGTATGTGTGGACACGGCCTACTGTAACGTGTGTATGTGTGGAGACGGGCTACTGTAACGTGTGTGTATGTATGGAGACGGGCTACTGTAACGTGTGTGTATGTATGGAGACGGGCTACTGTAACGTGTGTGTATGTATGGAGACGGGCTACTGTAACGTGTGTGTATGTATGGAGACGGGCTACTGTAACGTGTGTGTATGTGTGGACACGGCCTACTGTAACGTGTGTATGTGTGGAGACGGGCTACTGTAACGTGTGTGTATGTATGGAGACGGGCTACTGTAACGTGTGTGTATGTATGGAGACGGGCTACTGTAACGTGTGTGTATGTATGGAGACGGGCTACTGTAACGTGTGTGTATGTGTGGACACGGGCTACTGTAACGTGTGTATGTGTGGAGACGGGCTACTGTAACGTGTGTGTATGTATGGAGACGGGCTACTGTAACGTGTGTGTATGTGTGGACACGGGCTACTGTAACGTGTGTGTATGTGTGGAAATTCCAAAGCAATGAACAAATAAGCATCATACATCCTGTATTGTGAGTAATTCTAAAAATATTATGACATTTTAATTGTTGTCATTTCGTACATATCATGCTAATGTAATGAAACCATGGACATTTTCATGACGAATATATCCAAGAAATTCGTTGATCGTGTTCTCCATTTCCTTGTAACCGCCATGAATCAAGCAACAAGTAATAAACTAGAGATACTACACTGACACTAACTGACCACTGGCTGTTGGTCAACACGTGCTCCTGGTACTGTTTTCATCTGTGGACAACTTGGTGTGGATGGAGCAGGAGAGAATCCCGGGTCAACAATATAAACTAAGACATGATAGCCTGAGGGTAAGGTCTTAGGGAGAGGGTAATCTCATAAGGCTCACACGCCTCTAGTACAACCGAGAAGTATCGCATGGGAGTAATGATTTAGTTTATTGAGATTACTATGCTCGCACCCATGACACCGAATTAACTTAATTGTTTATGTAGGGGGCACGGGTGGCCCAGTCGTCTAATACGCCGCGATTCGCTGTGAGTTGCGTCCATTGGGCACGCCAGAAACCTATGATTGTGGGTTCGAATCCCGGCTCGCCCCGATTATGTTTCTAGGTTTGTCAGCACCATACCCGTGCTCGTGGGTTTCACCGAAGAGCTAAACGCCTGAGACCTGCATCACTTCGGTCTTTCCTACCACATTAAGCTGACATGCCATGATATAACTGGAATACTGGTAAAAGCGGCGTTAAACTCACTCACTAATTGTTTATGTCAGGTATATCACACGAAGAGTATTTATAATAAAAGTGCCCCACCATTTAATAATCAAAGGTGGCAGGGGAGCTGATGGGGGTTATTTGTTGTTTGAGCTATACTGTTGTTTTCCCTGAAAGCAGAAGCTAAACAACTGACCCCCCCCCCCCCCCCCACACACACACACACACACACACACCAAGAATATCATAGGGCGGCGACTAACAGTAAAGGACCATCTGATATTCTATTGGGAGGCCTGGGGTTTTGCATCGAGATTAGATAAATTTTTTTCAGATACAGTTACCAAACCAGATATATATATATTTTTTCAACACTGTGAGCATGAATTAATTAAAAGAAAAACACCGTTCAACAATGTGACCTTGTGGCAGGCAACCCTTTTTATTAAGTCTGAAGCAAAACAATAAATTTCGAGAATTTTGGGGGACACTTTATTTTTTCCGATACAATCTCATCCCCTAAAGCAGTATTTAAATAAATTTACATATGCAGCATCATATTACTATTTTTTAAAGTACAATAATTCCCGAAACACTTTCGGGAATTAATGTACTTTTTTTTAAAATTGGAAATTTTAATATTCAAATATTAAGTAGCTTTTTACCGCTCATCCAAAATGTCTTCAATGTCTCGAAAGCAAAACAACAAGTTCAAATGATGTCATCTTTTCATAGCAGTGATGCATTCGCTTTTCGCAACAGATACATACGTTGATTTTATCACCGTCAAACCACCCACAAATTGCGTTATATCAGTGACAATACAATGAACCTAAGGTTGACAGTGTTCCTATCTTGTACATAACGGTTGCCAGCTAGGTCACACAAACAAGGCATAAATGTGTCACCCCCGACAGGTTTATGGAGATCTGGAAACGCCAGCACTACATCCTCCTCTTGCACATGTTAGCGGAATTCTAGAGGGTCTGTAACAATACCTAGATTAAAGACTACACTTGATGTGACTGATACGTTGTGCATGTAATATATATGAGGATGGATTTTAGTTGAAGATATAAAACTATTTTCTTTACTTGATCCACAATCAATCTAAAACTGCGAATTTATATAGTGAGTTACAATCCAAGTCCCTCCCTTCTCTTTTTATGTCAGTCTCTTTACATATATTCAGATGATCCAAACTTGTAATAAAACGTAATTGTTTAAAAGTTTTATACTGCGTCATTTGCTCTATTTTTCCTTACAAGAAAGTTAAATATTGACATAATTGTTATAGGGCACCAAATACTCTATTATTCCTCAACAGAAATTAAAAATATTTGATATATTAGTTATAGTGCACCATTTGCTCTATCATTTCTTTTAAAACAATTTAATATTTCATATGTGTGTAACATTTGCTCTAATATTCCGTAAAATAAATTTTAATATTTTAATATTTGATATATTTGTTATAGTGCACCATTTGCACTATCATTCCGTAAAATAAATTTTAATAGTTGATAAAATATCAAATTTAAGAATTATGTCCCCCTATACAACTAGGCATCCCGTGTCCAAGGATTCTGAACGACTGAGAGAATTGCGTCCCCCTATACAACTAGGCATCCCGTGTCAAAGGATTCTGTACGACTTAGGGAATTGCGTCCCCTTATACAACTAGGCATCCCGTGTCCAAGGATTCTGTACGACTAAGAGAATTGCGTCACCTTATACAACTAGGCATCCGGTGTCCAAGGATTCTGTACGGCTAAGAGAATTGCGTCCCCTTATACAACTAGGCATCCCGTGTCCCAGGATTCTGTACGGCTAAGAGAATTGCGTCCCCTTATACAACTAGGCATCCGGTGTCCAAGGATTCTGTACGGCTAAGAGAATTGCGTCCCCCTATACAACTAGGCATCCCGTGTCAAAGGATTCTGTACGACTTAGGGAATTGCGTCCCCTTATACAACTAGGCATCCCGTGTCCAAGGATTCTGTACGACTAAGAGAATTGCGTCCCCTTATACAACTAGGCATCCGGTGTCCAAGGATTCTGTACGGCTAAGAGAATTGCGTCCTCTTATACAACTAGGCATGCCGTGTCCCGGGATTCTGTACGGCTAAGAGAATTGCGTCCCCTTATACAACTAGGCATCCGGTGTCCAAGGATTCTGTACGGCTGAGAGAATTGCGTCCCCTTATACAACTAGGCATCCGGTGTCCAAGGATTCTGTACGGCTAAGAGAATTGTGTCACCTTATCAAATGTAATCGAGCGTAAGTTAAGACATTGACCTGATCGCCGCAATTTTCATAAATTTGCCATATAACTTGCAACCAAGTTTGTTCACAGAATCACAGACACACCGAGCAACCCCTTTCTAAACAATAGTTTATAGACCAAGCAGACATTGCAACGCTGAATGGAGCTAAAATGTGTTCCTACTTGGTGACCTCATTTGCATATTTATCGGATCCTGGTACAGGATTGGTTTATAGCATCCTTAACCCTATTCATTTTATATGTGTACTTTGCAAAAAGAAAAACGCAAAAAAGTAACATCGTAAATACCTGATAGAGTGTTGCCGACATCCATACAAAATTAATACCAAAAAAGAATTGGTCATTTCGGCATGGATTAGGACTGATTTATGTGGAAAGAATGAGGTCTACGAAATTTGGTTAAAACGATGGAAAAATCGCAAAAACACAACAACGTGGCGCCGAAACACACCAACATGACATGCACATGAATCATCACTTCGTGGCTATAAGACTGGAGAATCATTTTCAGCTGTAGCCAGTTTTTTTCCACGTAGCACTAAGCACCATTACAAGACTGTGGAACCGTTATCAGTAACACGGGACGACATGTGACCTTTCCCGGTCGACCAAGTATCACTACAAGAGCAAAGGACTGATTCAAACGGCTACGACACGTACGTGAAAGAACCACCACGGCCAGCTCTACAACACGGCAATACCGCATTGCATAGGATATCAGCCCAGGCAGTGATGAACCGTTTACCCGTTGAAGGTTTTCGCGCAAGACAACCAGTTCGAGTGTCAATTTGACGTCAATGGTGTCAAGGTCACAGAGTATGGTCACAACTGCGATGGAGACAAGTTTGGTTTATTGACAAGTCACGTTTCATGCTTCGCCGTGCGGGTGGAAGACGTCGTGTTTACAGTCGTATCGGGGAACGTTATGCATGAAACTGAATACAGGAAGTGGACATATTTGGTGGTAGTAGTGTGATGATGTGGGCAGCCATATCCTACACTGGTAGAACAGACTTGGTGCAAGTTCTGGGGAACTTAACGGCACAACGTATGAGATTCTTCGGCCATAGGCCCTTCCCGTCATGCAACAAGCGAACGTCATTTTCCAACAAGACAATTCCCGACCTAACACGGCAAGACTGACAACGGCTTTTTTCAGGAATCACAACATCCAGGTCCTGCTGTGGACATTCAGGTCTCCAGATTTAAACCCAATCGAACATTTATGGCATGCACTGGATCAACGACTGCGAGCACGTCAGGAACAACCACAGAACCTCCGACAGCTGGCACAAGCACTGCAGGCAGAGTTGGTGAAAATTGCTCGGGCCATAATTCGGGGTCTGATTGCTTCCATGGGACGACGATGCCAGTCAGTTTTGGACTCTAATGGAGGCCATACAAGATATTGAGAACAGATGAATTTGAAAATCCACAGTTCCACGTGTGCCATATGGAATCTGGGTCAATGACAATGATGTGTGCCAATTTTGAAAATCGATTACCATCTGTTGATTATCTATATGATATATAAAATATGTTAAAATCTATAATCAGTTTTTGGTTTCTTTTTTTCAGAATATATGATAATGTGGCTTATGATTGTGCAACGAAACATTGCAAGTGTTTAACCAGACACCAGAGAGTAGTGGATGACAGTACAACACAAAAGGTCGGTGAATGGCTAGCAATAACTGATACATTATATTTATGGACACTTATTTCCACATGTATCGCAAAGACTGTTAAACTTTTAATTTATTACAGGAAACATTATGTTCTGGGTGAATGAGAGAGTCAGGCGGAACAGTGTTGAGGGCGAACCAATGCGTGTTTGCTTCAGGTGGGAGAAGAAGGGAAGTTGTGGAAGTTTAGCACTGGTGGAAACTCACAAGCAGCGGATCCTGCACAGACGAAGAGATGACTTTAAGTATAGTTAGAATGCTTATTGTCCTATTGGCTGCCATGCCAGTCGTCAGCGTTGAATACAAGGATGGTTGGTTGGTTTAAAGTATGTGACTTGACTGAATTGTCCTGGAGCACTGACTGGGCATGTCTCATATAATCAACACTGGTTTGTGGGCTCAAGACTATGTTTTTAACAGGCTGCCAACATTTATTGCACGGCGTTTCATATTGTTTGTTTTGTTGTTGTTTAATGCCGCACTCAAGAGGCGAGGCATACGCGAAAGGTGGCGCAGCCGTGCACACTAAGATAACTTCAGGAAGCGAGTGAATATCATGCTAATGTTAGGAAACGTCACGGTCACAAATCTCCCTACGGCGAAGCGCCCAATTTATTACATAGTGTCAAATGATCTGGTATACAGAAACGCAGAACATAGATCAGTCTAAGTTATCTTATTTGCATATTTATCAGATGGGATTTGTTTATGGCATCAGTGGTACTAACCGTAATACTGTTTGTTTGTTGTTTAACGCCGTCCTTAGCGACGTTCCAGCTAATGATTGCGATCTGTAAATAATCTAGTCTAGACCAGACAATCCAGTGATTGACATCATGAGTATCGGTCTATGCAATCGGAATACGATGACATGCGTCAAAACAAGTCAGCGAGCCTGACCACTCGATCCCGTGAGTACGACAAGCATCGTCACCTATTACGGCAAGCGTGGGTTGCTGAAGACCTATTCTAACCTGGGTCTTCATGGATTTTCCTATTGCTGATCATAGTTAAATATTGCATTGACTTATTGGTGAATATTAATAAAAGCATATTCAATTTAGCGTTGTAACTGGGTTCCAAAATATGATGACCATATGTGATGTATGTTACATGCCACTACTTCTCCCTTCGATAATACTTGCCATCCACTTCATGACAATACAGTGAGTGAGTGATTATGGTTTTACGCCAGGACACCAGAAACGGGCTTAACACATTCTACCCATGTCGGGAATCGAACATGGTTCTTCGGCGTGACGAGGGAACGCTTTAACCACTAGGCTACCCGACCGCCTCCTCATGACAATACAACGTATCCATACATGACGCTTGAGTACTGACCTCCAACCCACCTCCACTGCAAGACACACTGGGCACAGGTCAGGTTGTCCGGAAGCTGCCCAGTCAAGTTGACCATCACAAAAGGTCCCTGTAGAGTGAGGGGGTAGCGCAACCCCGACCCTTCCACACGGACAGGGTGTTTGTCCAGGCACAGTTGGTCCACGGCGTGCTTGGGGTCATTCCACGGACATATTCGGAACTCGAAGTAACCCTTGTGGTTCGAGGTGATGTCAAGGACGAGGGGTATTTTCTGCCCCGTACGGTACCGCCGGGTAATAGTTCCTGTGGCGTAGGTACCGTTTGGTTCATTCCGCCTTGGTCCCTGCCAGGGATCTCCACACACCCCGCACCTGCCATCTTGGAAGTGGTGTTGATTCTGTGATCATACAAAATACGTGGTCTAGTGACAAGTTTCCTTTGTAATATATATTTTTATAATTACAAATATTAAATACAGGAAACTAGGTGTATAACGAACACGCTTATAACGAACAGACGGATATAACAAACTATGTTTTTTGGTCAAGGCCATTTGCTGCATATATGCTGTATATTGTATATACGCTTACAACGAACTAGGGGCGGTCGGGTAGTCTAGTGGTTAAAATATTCGCTCGTCACGCCGAAGACCCGAGTTCGATTCCCGACATGGGTACAATGTGTGAAGCCCATTTCTGGTGTCCCCCGCCGTGATATTGCTGGAATATTGCTAAAAGCGGCGTAAAACCATACTCACTCACACACTCAATCATTATATCGAACTACGGTTATAACGAAATAGAATGTGTCCAAGGCGGATCCAGGGTTTAAAGAAAGGGGGGTAGGGTATCCACTTGTGCGTTTTGTAACTTCAGTGGGGTGGCACCCAAAAGCCTACCCCAAAATCACACAAACACTGTAAGCAAACCAGTATTAATTTTACTTAAACAACTAGGTCACCACGTCATCATGGCAGGTAGTTGGCATACAAAAAGTCATTTGCTGTAAAAGAAAAAGGGGGGGGGGGGGGGGGGGCACCCCGAGAACCAGTGAATCCGCCACTGGTTTAGATACTGTAAGGCCACTCGTCCCCGCTCTCCTACATATACACAAAAGCCATGCTGATTCAATTCTATTCAATCTCTGAATATCTTTAAGAGAATTATATAAGACCTAATCGGTGTCCCAGGCATGCGCAGTAGTGCCAGAGCATCATGATGCATGTTAATGTGCCCTGTTGTGACACGACAGACATTTCCATATCAGAAGGTCGTGAACTCAAAGTCACGATAAGCAGCCTTTATCTAACTTTACACGTCATAGATAAGTACAATCGTGATTCCAAACAAACAAAAATGGGTTTCTATTCTCAATAGGTTCGTGGTGTTATTTTGCGTGAAGTTCGTGAACTTACCACAAAGCCGCCACAATTAAGTCCATTGTCGTCGTAATTCTTCGGCGTGTTAAATCCAAACCGCCACATACTCGATCTCATGGGGGGCTCGATCATCCGCCCGTGACTCGTCACCCCCGCGGGAAGTAGCAGTCCAAGAGCAAAGGAAACCACGAGCCCCCATAATCCGAAAAAGTTTCCTTCCATATTAAACTAAAGGAGGTAAAGACGTACAACCAATGCTGACAGGTGATTTTCGCCTACCGAGGGTGTACGGCATCCAACGGGAAGAGCCGTGACACTTTGATGGCTAGTTTCAACTGTCACACTAAACATTTGAAAAAAAAGAAGGTTAAATTGTCACACACTGAGCGCATTATATGCCCTTTCCTCTATAAATCACTAACTGTGCATTCTATAGAATTACAGACCAGAGGACTGGATATTATAAGAATCTATTCAAAATGAATGTGAATTTACCATTCTGGACTGTGCACTGAAAACAGACAGTTTAATGGCATCGGATGTCTGCACGTCGGCCTGCGGAACGGGTTGGTCTGCTATGCGTGTGAGTTCCGTATTTAGTTCAAGTACCACTCAAACAACATCACACTGCTCACCGTGAACGTCGTGTATTGTAAGGTGAACGTCGCGTATTATAAGATGTGATCTTGTCCTTACATGGGGACTGTGCTCTAGATGTGAGTTGCTGTAAACGTAAATATGGTTTGTTTTGTTTGTTTGTTGTTTAACGCCGCACTCGGCAATATTCCAGCCATATGACGGCGGTCTGTACAAAATCGAGTCTGGACCAGACAATCCAGTGATTGACATCATGAGCATCGACCCACGCAATTGAGATACGATGACATGCATCAAGTCAGCGAGCCTGAACCCCGGATCTTCACGGGTCCGTAAATATGTTAATGGAATTATTGGACATATTCAAATGATTGATAACTACATACTTTCAAGTTTTAGACTTCTGAGATCAAGTGATTGAAATTAGAACTGCCATCCTAGTCCCCCTATAAAGTATTAATGATGCCTAGGTACGAGCATGGTTCCTTCTCTGACACTAACAGGACACTTCAATACACAGCGAAGAAAGAAGTCGGACATGGATGTCTTGCTTGCAATTGTGTTTTGTAATCTTCCAATTTTGTCAACATGGACACATCAAATGTCTTTGAATGAATGAATATGTCTGCTGTGTCTGAGACTGTGCGGACTTCTTGGAATTGCAATTGATATCTTAGTTCCATGGCCACTCGGATGGTACAGATAGACCATGTTGCCTCAGAGACATTGTATGTTTTTTCACATACTGTCCCCGTGAAGATCCGGTCTTCAGCAACCCATGCTTGTCATAACAGGCGACTAACGGGATCGGGTGGTCAGGCTCGCTCACTTGGTTGACGCATGTCATCGTATGCCTATTGCGTAGATCGATGCCAATAATGGCAATCACTGGTCTGGTCTAGGCTAGTCTATAGCTGGAATATCGCTAAGTGCGACGTTAAACAACAAACAAACAATATGATATACCGGTTAGTACCGCCAATGCCAAAAACAAATCTGATCCGATAAATATGCAAATGAGGTAACTTAGATTAAATTATTTTCTGCGTTTCAGTAAATCAGATAACTTGACACTATGTAATACATGGGGCGTTTCGCTGTAGGGAGACGGAGAAAATATGTGACTTTGACGTTAAGTAACATTAACATGATGTTCATACTCGTTACCTGAAGTTACCTCAGTGAGCAAACGGCTGCGCCACCGCCCTCGCCTCCTACTGTAGAGAGTACCGCGAATATTTGTCAACCATAATTACTAACAAGCATGAAATACTCATAGCCCCGCCAATATGACATGTCCGGTTGTGTGCCAGACATTAGGCCCTAAGTCAAAGTCGTTGCTATGGAAACTCGAAGTATGTTTTTTTTAAAAATTCCAAACTATGAAAAGGCACCAGTTTACCATTAGACCTATCTATGTTCCAAGTTTGATGATGAAATAGTGTAGGGTTTTCAAGCTCTGCCCCGGAAACGAGCACGACCGCAATTTTCAGTCGAAGTCAAAGTCGTTGCCATGGAATCGCAAAAAATATATTTTTTAAATCCCTGAACAATCAAAAAGCACCAGTTCAACACTAGACCTATCTATGTGCCAAGTTTGGTTAAGATGTCTCTCATAGTTGGCGGGGGATAAACAACGAGCGTGTATCTTCGTTGCTTTATTCAGGAATACATGTGAACAAATGATTTTCAAGATCCAATATATATTCGTGAAGACTGTAATTTTTAACATGACTTATCAATTAAAATCGTTGACTTGCCCGTTTGCTAGACACCACACCACGTTCTTTAAGTTGCACTGACAGAGAAAGTTAATACTGATTTGAATGTGTTCTATGCAGACTACCACACAGGTGATGTTGTTGTTGACAGCGGGACAGTCTCCATTGCACAAGGCACTAGCAGTCCTATCATTGGGGCCAAAGATCCAAAGAGGAAAAAGGGCACGTTATTTTTGTAAATCTTTGGCCTGAAAAAATACCTTCGCCAAACATACTACACGCAAGCTGACAACAAGGGCGGATTGTCTAACCTGACAACAAATTAGCTTACTGTTCCACACCCATCAAATGGTGTTATGAAAATGTATCAAGTAAATAATTTATTTACATCTATATTTCATATGGAATTGTTTCTTCTACACTCTTTTAAACCGTCAATTGGTAGATCAAAGTATACATTTACTGCGGTCAAATATCGTAGTCACATTGTCCATGAAACCATTTGATATATACTGCCGGGCGAAAGAAACCATACACTTGAACATAAGATTTGACCACAAAATTACAAACGTATCATAACGCCACAAGTCTCCGAAACACTGCAAACTTAAGGTCCAAAACACAACTATGATACCCGTATCAAATACATCACCATAGAATAGCCATTTCGTTTTTGTTTCATTTTTAGCCACCATCAAACATTGGTGCAAGACTGTCTTTAGCCCGGAAGTTGATGCTACCTCTAACATGTAGCTGTGTGTGGAGAGTTGCCGTATCGCCGTAGATAGACGCAGGCACATGAGTGAGTGAGTATGATTTAATGCCGCTTTTAGCAAAATTCCAGCATTGTCACGGCAGGGAACACCAGAAATGGGCTTCACACATTGTACCCATGTCGGGAATCGAACCTGGGTCTTCGGCGTGACGAGCGAACGCTTTAACAACTAGGCTAGACTATCCGACCGCCCCTCGCAGGTACGTGAGGATGTCTATATTTCACAAGCCGTATTCTGTGTTTTTTTTGTAATCTCGATTCTTTTTGGCCAAACAATATATACGATGCCCATTTTAGTAAATTAATGTATGTGTATATAGGCAGTAATGCGACAGAGAAGAAGAGGGCATTTGACCTGTTATCATACCTCCATGTCAGAATGATGAGATATGATTGGTCCACATGATCTTGATAAAACACTGTGTAACCCGCCTTAGAGGGTACTACATTTCTCAGCGGGGGAGGGGCGGTCTTTACCTTATGATTAAAGCGTTCGCTCGTCACGCCGACGACCCGAGTTCGATTCCCGACATGGGTACAATTTCTGGTGTCCCCCGCAATGATATTGCTGGAATATTGCTAAATGCGGCGTAAAACCAATGTCAGTCACTCACTCACTCAGCGGGGTAATAAATCTCTTATACCCCGCCACAAGCGCTACAGGCTGCATTTCTGTGAGACAGAATAAATCCTTTATACTCCGCTTCAAAGCATAAAGCCGCATGCTTTTTCCAAGCCGATGTATGTTACGTGACATAGGGCAAGCTAACCTCAGCTCAATCGAGTAGCTGTTTTCTATCAATTTTGAATTTATTTGAATTATTTTACAATGTCATATTAAAACATGTCGGTAAGAAAGATTCGTTGTTGCAGGATCACTCAGGGTACATGGGGTTTATTCGTCCGGCTCGTGGTATAAAACCTAACTCGGGACGCATAAAACCCCATGTACCCCTCGTGATCTTGCTACAGTTTATAGTGCACTAAGGCGCTAAATTTACTGTTCTGTACATTAACTGTGTAAGGATTCGCCGGTTCGAATCCGAGATTTGTCCCGACTATGGTTCTTTGTTTGTCATCCCCGTATCCGTGTTCGTGATTTTCACACGACGTTTACCGCGTGAGTCGGTTTGTTAATCCTCTCACAAAAAGCTGACGGGAACCAGCGTTATACCCCAATCCCACACAACCATACACAGAACGAGAGCCATTGGAACCGAGGAAGTCAAACGCCTTACTGAGAAAGGTACTGTTTCTTCCGACACTTCGGTTCAGAGGCCAACTGTGTCATGTATACATCGCTTCCCATGGTATACATCGTATTGTTAAGACCACCAGGTCACGGGTCAGCGACAAATAGTACCCTTGACAAATGTATATGTCTTCAAGGTTAATCGTCCTAATATTTTTTAGGGCTCTGCAGTGAAAGCCCCACAGGTGTACTAATCTGTGAGCACCACCCTACCGCAGTCGTCGATAAACAAGTTTGTAGTAGACCTGAAAAACCTGAACGTCTTCTTGCTTTTTCCCTACACGTTTCATACTTGTTTTATTGTCTTTATTTGTCAGGTATAATTAGCTGGTTCATATTTTTACAGATATATGTTGGTAAAACACATGTATGACTCGATCGTTGGTATGCCACTGTTCGCTGGCAGAATTCTGCGCCATCCATGTGGAGTGAGTGAGTGAGTGAGTGAGTGAGTGAGTGAGTGAGTGAGTGAATATGGCGTTACGCCGCTTCTAGCAATATTCCATCAATATCACGGCAGGGGACACCAGAAATTGACTTCACACATTGTACCCATATCGGGAATCGAACCCGGGTCTTCGGCGTGACGAGCGAACGCTTTAACCACAAGGCTACCCGACCGCCCCTCTATGTGGAGTAAACGTGCTGGCGACAAAGAGGCTGCCAATGGAAACGTGGATACAAGATTGACACTTTCAACATCCTTTTATTCTTCACTGCAACATTTTGGCACCTAACTAAACCCTTTAACACGCAAATCATGAACCAAGAAAAAAACTTCTAACATTCGAACTGATTTCTCTCCGTTGTCTCCAATAGTGACATATAGAACATCTGATAAGAAACCATATCAGACCATTGTCCATGCTATCGCTTTGGTTTATGCTGCAGTTCCTTCAGATATGATTGATATGTTTCTCTGTGGTCGGAATCTGGACTTCACTGTTGAGATAGCACCCGTGGGAAAATCACTTGAATATCAGGAGATCTATCGACGAGGAGGAAAACACGGAAGCCTACAGGATCACCCTGAAAAAGTCCAAACGCTTTTT